AGAAAGAAATTGATAAGGACAACAAATTTAACGTAAGTCATTTGTGTTGAACTTTTAATATAGGGTAGTCCAAACAAAGAGATTCACCTTGGAGGGAGCAGGAGTCTTCCAAAAACCCTTGGCATTTGGCGTGCAATGAGGAATGTGTTATTAGGAGAGGCCTCTATAGATGGGTTGGGTGAGATGATCAAATAAGGATTTACAAGAAAAAAGACCGAAAAATTCCAAGTTCTAGACTCTACCATCAGGCTGTGAGGGTGGTAGAATAGGAGTCAAGACGTCCAATAAGGATAACATGTCCCGAGTCTCCACATTAGATAGGTTATTGGAGAAGTGGAGATTCCATGATATTCCTTCCTTGGTGTTAATCAAAAATTGAGAAATTGAGGCTTGGTGTTTGAAGGATAGGTTGTATAATTTGGGAAATTACGTAGCTAATGGTTGGTTACCTAACTATTGATCCTCCTAGAATCTCCAAGCAGATTTATTTCCAACTTGAAAGTGTGTATGGAGAAGAAAAATGGGGTAGATTTGTGAGATTGCTTTCCACAGACTGCGGTGAGAGACATACCTCCTAGCATAATATTCCAAACATCCCGCATTCTTGATGCTTTTGATCACCCTATGCCACAAAGAATTAGATTTCTTTGGAAATCGTCAGAGCCATTTAACCAATAATAATAGATTTTTTAATCAAAGATTCCTTATCCCCAACCCTCTTGAATTCTTAGATTTATAACATGTCTTCTAGTTAACTAAATGATCCTTGAAATCCTCATCTATCCATGACTAAAAAAATCTTCTCGTGTATCCCTCGATCCTCTCTGCTACCTTAACCAGAATTCTAAACATAGATAAGTAACAGAGTTGGATGGTAGAAAAGCATGCCCAGACCAAAGTAACCCTATCCCCAAAGGTGAAGAGACCCCCTTGCAACTCTCAAGGCATTTAGCTATCTTAGTCTCTACCTTCCCAAAAGGGGATATATCTCGAGTTTCCACCCAGGGGAACCCTAATATTGATGTCATAATTTCTGCCCCTCAAAGGTAATTGCATCTTCTCATCTCCTATTACACAACCTTCAGTTCATTAATATGTTCCTCCACCAACTTCCTTAGCTCATTGACCTCTGTGCTTGATCTGGTTTTAGCGGCAGCCTCCACCTTCTTCCATCGGGTTCAAATGAAAGGGACGACATCTACTTATGAAAGGTTCTGTTCACACACAGTTGCAGATTTCAGCCTTCCCTTGCCATCAATTCAACGTTGTGAGTCTCTTTGTTATGTTGAGAACCGGGTGCAAACACTCAAGAATGAGCTAGGATGCAGAGAATTGCAACAGGTGCACAAAGAAGACAATGGAACCGGCAGCAGGAAATCAATAAACAGGGAACAGGAAAGGAAAAATAGAACTAACTGCACAGAATCACGACCTGTAAGGGTCTACATGCATTGTCCATGTGCTCTCCCGCCGAAATTAATACAGGTCACATGGCAGCATCTAAGACAACCAAAGGGACACGTGTCACAATCCGGGAGGTGGTCATTAAAACCCCAAAAACTGAATCGTCAGATCGCTTAGAATTGTTGCTTCCCTTCAGTAAACTGAGCCGACCCTTCCCCCCTGAACCACTCCTTCATGCGTGAACCAGCTCACGCCTGTTCTTCGTCTTCCCCCGTTTGACGTGTCCCGACGAGAAGCAATACTCCGAATGTTGACTTAAGTGAGACAGGATAATCCGAGTAGAACTGGGTCAGAATGAGAGCCTGGGCCCCTTGAAACCACATCTCTATAACTTACACTCAAAGGCTGTTGCTAAGTTGGCTTAAGGATGCACTTCACCCAGCATGAGTAATCTTCAATTGTCTTGTTAATATCCATGATATTCTCTCTCATCAAATCCAATCAGTTATAGCACCACAACAGATTGTGTGGCACGATTTTAGCCTTTTTGAAAATTGAATCTTGCATGCTGCTGGTCCTCCTCTATTCTGTGCCATCAACGAACCTCAGTTTTGTATCCTTCTTGTTGGTAAAATTTCTTTTCATAAAATTTTCATAGTAGATTCCATGGGAAGTTCCTTTGTGGTTTTATGATGAGCATTAGGCGCCAAACTCTCTGTACAAGCATGGAATACTCCTTGATTATCGGTCACCTCTATGTTTAGTGCTTCAGATGCTTTCAACCACCTGGTACCTCACATGCCCTTAAAGGACTCAAATTCTGCAAGATACGGTCGTTCCTTTAAAATGTGCCATCTCCATATACCTCCCATATTCGTTTCTATTGGGCACTGTAATCAAGCACCCCTCATCAACCCTGCACACTGGACTATATAAGAGCCCTTCCTCTACCAATGATATCAGGCAATTTCGCAGCCATTCAATCTCCGCAACCCAAGGCAAAGGAGAAACTTGTGTCTGTTTCGCAGCTTTTGAATTGTCAGTCCTTGACTCAGCATCCTTCCATATTGTAAATACTTTATGTAAAGTATTAGGAAGGAAAAAATATTGAATAATTCTTATGTTTTTATTGAAATGAAAGTTGCGATATATATACATGTAAACGGATTCATATATGATAACCAACATAAATTATCCTAATTGTTTTCTCTCTAATTACGTTTACATATTTGAAAAAATAATTATATTATTATGTACAGAGAATATTTTATAATATTTTAACACTCTCTCTCAAGTTGGAGCATAAATATTAATGATGTCCAACTTATTCCGAATATACTCAATCTGTGTTCCATTTAGAAATTTTGTGAATATATCACCAGATTATTCTTTTGTTTTCACATAATCAGTAGATATAAACTTTTCCTGAATTTTTTTGGGATGAAGTGACAATCAATCTCGATATGTTTGGTTCTCGCATGGTACACAGGATTTAAGATAATATGAAGGGCAGTCTGATTATCGCACCAAAGTTTTGCAGGATATGTGGGCTTCAAAAACCCATTTTATCTAACAGATGATATATCTATAGGAGTTCGCATGTGGACTGTGCTAAAACTCTATATTCGGACGCTGCGCTTGAGCGATATACAATTATTTGCTTCTTACTTTTCTATGATATGAGATTTACACCTACAAAAACACAATAACCTGTAATAAACCTTCTATCAATCTTAAATCCAACCTAATCAACATTTGTAAAACACTCGATGTGAGTATGCCCATAATTTCTAAACACTATGCCAAACCCAGGGACACCTTTTAAGTAATACAAAATCTATTCCAAAACCTCTCAATGTTTGACTGTAGGTGCTGATATAAACTGACTAACAACACTGACATGGTATCCTATATCTGCACGAGTTACAGTGAGGTAATTCAATTTCCCAACTAGTCGCCTGTATTTCTCTGGGTCATCAAAGGGATCACCATCATCTTTTGTAAAACGTATATTTGGTACCATTAGTGTATTGCATGGCTTAGCTCCCAACTTTCCTAATTCTGCAAGTAGATCAAATACATACTTTTTCTAAAATAACAGAATTCCTCCCTTACTTCTTGTTACTTCAACTCCCTAAAAGTATTTTAGTTATCCCAAATCTTTAGTATTAAACTTGGTATGCAAAAATAACTTGAGAGAGAATATTCCTGCATAGCTATCTCCTATAATCACAATATTATCAACATAAACAATAAGAAATATAATACTACCTGTTGATTGTCTATAAAAGACTGAATGATCACATTTGATCTTCTTCAATCCGAACTCACATACTATCTCACTAAACTTGTTAAACCACGTACGAGGACTCTGTTTCAGACCATACAAAGATTTCTTTAAATGATAAACTTTTCTGTACTCCCCCTAAGCAACAAACCCAGGTGGTTGCTTCATATACACTTCTTTTAAGAGATCACCATGAAGAAATGCATTTTTAATATTCAGCTGGTGTAAGGGTCAATCTTAGGAGGCTGCAATAAATATGAATAAACGGATAGAGATAAGCTTGAACACTGGAGAAAATGTATCAAAATAGTCCACTCTATAAGTTTGAGCATAACATTTCACTATCAGTCGAGCTTTAAATCTTACTATAAAACCATCTGAATTCACTTTGATTGCAAATACTCATTTACACCCTATAACTTTTTTTTCTTTGAGTAATTCTATCAGATTACAGGTATGATTGTCATCAAGAGCATTTATCTCCTCAAGCATAGTATTACGCCAACCAAGGCGATTCAAAGCCTCCTTAACTGTCTTATGTATAGAAATTGAATCTATAAACGTAATTAAAACACTCGATGAAGGAGATAGATGGTCATATGATATAAAATTAATAATAGGATAAGTTGGTGCAGGGATGATACACTGACTTTTACCTTTACGGATACCAATAGGAAAATCAAGTTCCTCCGAGACACAATTAGATGACGACGGATCTGGTGTACAACATGTATCATTAATTTATTGTCTTCTGAAATAAACATGAACAATTGGTGGTACTACTTGGGTCAGAGGCACACAAACACTATCATCAACTTGCTCAAGCGTAGCTGGAGACATATCATCTGGAGGAACACTTTTATCTGTTTGTTCAATAAAAGCACTTAATGTGAAAATATAGATGAGTCACTCGTCGTCCACCTCCTGACTTGTAGACTTGGACGATGAAGAGAAGAACGGTATATTCTTTAAAAAAAACTACATCAGTTGATACCAAATATTTATGAGACGTTGAAAGTAAAACCTGTATCTTTTCTGGATGCGAAAATATCTCAAAAATACACAATTCAAGGCCTTTGGATTTAATTTTATCATAATAGGTCGCACATCTCAAACATAACAGATGCTACCAAATATCTTAAATTGCACCGAAACCAAAGACTTGTTTGGAAAAAGAAGACTATAAAGAACAACCTCATCAAGCACAATAGATGTCATACGATTAATTAAGAAACAAGCTGTAGTAATGATATCAGCCCAAAATTGCTTAGAGGCTTGTATTTGGAACAAGAGGACTCGAGCTGTCTCAAGTAAATGTTTGTTCTTTCTCTCAATGACCCCATTTTGAGATGGTGTATCAACACACGAGAATTGGTGAAAGATCTCGTGTTATGTCATATAGTTCTGAAATAAATCTAACATATATTTCTTACCATTATCACTCCTCAATACATGTACCAAAACATTGAATTATGTATTGACTTTAGCACAGAAAGCACAAAAGTGAAAAAATACTTCTGAACGATTCTTCATAAACTATAGCCAAATTATTCGAAAAAAATCATCCACAAAAGTAATGAAATACTTGAATTCAATTTTGGACGGAATAGAATATGAGCCCCAAACATTATAATGAACTAACTCAAATGCAAACTCAGCTCGTCTATCGACCCTTGGACCTGATAGACTATGATGATACTTTCCAAACTGACAAGACTCACAATCTAGTGATGGAATATCATGAAACTGAGGACATACCTTCTTCAACACAAGTAGATATGGTATCTCAATTGACAATGTGCTTCAAATAGAGAGATAATACTAGAACAAGCAACTGATTGAGGGACCCAAGTATCAAGAATGTAAAAACCACCTGATATATTTCCTTTACCAATAATCTGCTTCGCTATAAGATCCTGAATAATACAGTGATCAGGAAAAAATGTAACACAACAATTCTAATTTTTAATAAACTTACTTACAGAGATAAGATTGAAAGCGAGTTTAGATAGACTTAATACAGATGACAGAGTAATAGATGATGTTGATTTTGTGATCCCCGAACTTACAATATTATATGTCGACGCATCAGCAATAATTACAGAAAAGATATTTGTATGGTTGAAAACTAGAAAAAATATTATAATTACCTGTCATGTAATCTGTAATACCAGAATCAATCACTCATCTGTTTGAGGAGGAGATAAAATATTTTTCTTCTGATTCAGCAAAAGTAGAAAATTTATTTAAAGATTTCCGATACTGAGTGAATTTAGTATTCTTATCAGCTGAAATCATAACAGTTCTTTTGGAGGATGAGCTGCTAGTAGCAGCAACAATATTAACGGTCTGTTTCCTTCGATTAAGATTGTACAATTTCTTACAATATCGTTTTATATGTCCTTATTCACGACAGTAACAGCAGACTATCTTATCATCCATTTCAATTCAGAAATTAAAAATGTCACTCAGAATACCTAAACCTCAATAGTCAGATATACCCAAAAAACACTACAAATATACCAGAAAATCTGAGAAAATAGAGTACCTCTTCACGCAAGGCTGTCAACAATCCTACTAGAACCTCACTACCAATTAGTGGAGCTAACGCACCACTGCACGCGCCGCCGCCAGAGTTCATGCGTCGTCGCTGGAGTTCACGCACTGCTGCTGAAATAACCAAAATGTCTCCTTTCAGCCGGAAATCACCACAGACCCCACTGGACAACCGAAATCCAGAAGGGGCTCGCGAAAACACCTCGAATCGCACCAGAAAACTTGAAAAAAACTTCTTGTCGTGCGATCTACTTCGCAGCGGTTTTCTCTTCTCCGGACTTCTAGTTTCGTGCACAGAACTGGCTGACCAAGCTCTTTGATAGCTTATGTCCGGGAAAGTAAAATGCACAAAAATACCCTCCTTCGGCAAACCCGACGCACACAACCTCAAACCACCGTGCAAACCGTTATCTCAGCTTCTCCCACGTACACCACCATGTTGGCTGCACTTTGAACTAGCTGGAGATTGCTAGTCGACTTCCTCCGGCGCTGGAAATGGGTTGTTCAACCCTTATTTTGGTCTGATATTATCTTACCCCTAAAACTCTAACCCCTAACCCTAACTCTGATACCATGTAAAGGGTTAGGAAGGAAAAATTACTGAATAATTCTTATATCTTTATTGAAATGAAAAATTGCGGTATATATACACGTAAACTGATTCATATATAGTAACCAGCATAAAATTACTCTAATTGTTTTCTTCCTAATTACGCTTACATATTTGCAAAATAATCATATTATTATGTATAGGGGAATATTCTATAGTATTCTAAGACATTTCTTTTCAGCAAGAATACCACCTATGATCCCACTCGCTTCACCTTTACCACGGACATCTCTTTAACCAAGGAGATCATATAACAATTTGTTATTTACTAGAAATAATCTGAACTCCATCCAGGATTCAGACCCAGCAAGACTAATAGCTACAACGTTCAATTTCATGTATGGATTAAATGGTTTTTTTCTTGACACCTCTTTGAGTTCTTTAGATGATATGGCATAATACATACTGTTCCAGAACATGGATAGTAGAAAAACTAAGGTGGCAATTTCTTAAAAATATACATGGACAATGAGGTAATGATTCACAAACATGAAATTTTGGATACAAGAAATGAAGCCAAGTTATCACAAACAACTAGTCAGTATACATGTTCAAGAAGTTACTAATGTCGAAGCAAAATTTAAAAGAACCAACTAAAACCACATGTAGCATCAGATCTTGAAACATGATACCACAGATTAGTTGCTTTCTAATCGTGTAAGTTCACAAGTGAAGGTTGCACCATTACAGTGGCTACAGAAACAAAGATAACAAAGTAACTCCAATTATGGATACTAACCGGTCAGCAACATAAAACTAGAAACGAATTCAAAATGAATAATAAGCATGAACCTAGCAATATCATAAATGGTTGTGAATACTAGGACATACATACAACTGAACTTGTAGCAGTTGTATGTTTATCCTATTAATAAAGCCCCATATAAAGATCTAACAATTTCCATAATATATTAAAGAAACGATGTTATATGCTTACTTAGTGTTAGGAGCTGGAAATATAGTCTTATCTAAAAATTACAGCAAATTGAAAAACTATAACATGCTTGTTGCTTACTGTCAATTCTGGAAAAAGGATATCATGCTGCGGGCACACACCCAATCCCTTCCGTATGTCATCCTACAGAGCACATTCTCGCAGTAATCAGAATTTCAGGGCATATAAATCCTGTCAAAAAAAAAGGAAAAAAGAAAGAGGGAGGAGAGAGGGGCAGGCAGGGAGGAGAAAATAAAATAAAATAGAACATACCATGTCTGTTATGATATTCTTCCCAAATATCAAAGCATCTCCTGAGGTTGGGGGCAGAAGTCCAACAAGCATTGATATTGTCGTACTTTTACCAGCTCCATTATGCCCTTCAAAATATTTTTTAGTCGAAGAAAAAATATAATTAAGAAGTGAAAACAAAAGTAGGAAGATAGTGAGGGTAGGACACTCTCGAACAAGGAAAAAAAAAAAGATAGGTCTATACATAGAATAGCCTGTGAATTCTGTTTCAAACTAGATAAGGCGTATTTCCCAATGTGTGCTTTAGATCACAGAAAAATATAAACACTCCTATCCCAAATCAACACATAAGATTGGGTGCACTATTTAAAATTTCTGCTATCTTGGTGTTCCTCTTGGGAGCAACCTCGAACTAGTATCGTTTTAAAATGTCAGCATGACTAGTCTCTTTAAACGTCTAGATTGCTAGAAGGGTGTTCTTTTCTCCCCTGATGTGGGCAGAGAGAACTGAAAGGGTTGAGGTTGGACGACTCCAAGAGAGATTGCTCAATTAGTTGGGAGAGATGTTATAAAGCCAAGAAGGATTGGGGGCTTGGTATTAGATATCTCTATTATAAGAATTTCTCTTTTGGCTAAATGGTTATGGTTATGGCTATTCCCTTGGAATTTAACCTGTGTTGTTGCTCAAGATACTCAAGAGCAAGTATGGTTTGCACCAGAATGGATGAGACTCAAAAACTAATGTTCAGAGGATACATAGGAGCCCCAAGAAAACAATGTTTAGCCCTATGCTTCTTTCTTACACTTGCTTAGACTGAAGTTGGGGAATGGTTCCTGATTTCTCTTATGAGAGGATCCTTGCATTGTACTCTCAGTTTTCTCGCCTTTGTAGTTATAATTCACCAGTTCGCCTTTGTAGTTGTGGATGCTAATGGTTAGAAAATTCCTAGCAGTGGAATTTCAAACCATTTCTTTGACATTGCAACAAACAACTTTTTCTTTGGGCTTTACTTTCATCGCATTGTCTGGATTTAATGTGGTTTTGGGATTAATTGATTGAGCACTTTAGGCTCTATTACTTGGGATTTCAAGGATACGCTGATGAGCTTTGTGTTCCATGGCTCTAAAGTTACTTCGCATGGCATTCCAGAATCTTCATCTTCAATATCATCTAAAATTCATAAAATTTTTGTTAATGGGGGGTGGACCGAAGAGAGAACTTGATCACATCAGATTATATTATTGCTAAATATTTCCCCTGTAGTTGTGAGCCTATATCGTTATCCCCACCTTCAGAAAGATGAGATTGAAAGATAGTGTACCTCCATTCTTCAACAGAGCATCATTCGACCAAGTCAATCGCCATACTCTTCTCCAACTGTTAGTTGGGAGGTGGATTTTACTTGGAAATTTTGTGTGGATTACAAAGCCCTCAGTGATAAAATGGTCGAGGATAATCTCCTATTCCAATTTTTTTTTTTTGAAATAAAAGCGTGAGCTTTGTACATTGATTAGGTGCCAAGAGGGCACTGCTCATGTACAAAATTTATATGGCAATTAGCATATCTACAATGTAACCAAAATCATCCATACAATCAAGATTATGTCCTAAGATAGTAGAGTCAAAATAATGAAACCAATTATCCTTGATGGTATTAAAATCAACTTTTTCCCCTTCGAAAGCACGATTGTTATGTTCTTTCCAGATAACCCAAAATATAGTAAGAGAAATTATTCTAATTAGCTTTTTTTTCTGGCTGCTAATACTTTCCCAGGCCAACAATTCAGAGATATTAGTGCCCGCCATAACCCAAGACATACCAAGGAGACCGAGAACCATGGACCAGAGTTTGTGTGATATAGGGCAACCAAGGAGAAGGTGATTACAAGTTTCAAGATTGTTCTTCAGAGGAAGCATCTGTTAACAGTAGTTAGGCCTTTTTTCATCAAGTTGTCAAGGGTAAGAATCCTTCCTTTGGCTGTCTCCCAAGCAAAAAAGGATATTCTGGGGGGGGGCTCCAGATTTCCAGATTATTTCCGAGGGGAAATCCCTCTGCCTGTTAGTGATTGAACCATTCATGTAATGGTAGAGTGAATTGACAGAAAACAGACCATTTTTCATCAATTTCCAGCATAGTTCATCATCGTGGTTTGAGAGCTAAATATTAGACAAAGTGAAAAAGCAATGTTTTATATTCCTCCACCTCCCAATCTTTAAGGTTCTTAGTAATATTTACTTGCCACAGACCTGGGTTTTCAGAGCTGGTCAGATCGCAGACCGTGCAATTTTTGTTCCTGGCTATAGCATGGATGTGCGAGAATTTGATAGGAGACTCTCTGCACCAAGACCAAGTATCCTCCCAGAACCGAATTTCATGATGCATTTCCAAATGACGTCGTCATTTTGAGCAGTGAAGGAATTTGATAGGAGACTCTCTGCCTCTACCCAGGGTGCATTTTGAGCAGTGAAGGACGTTGTCATTGAGTTTCATGATGCATTTCCAAAGACTCGAACCATAGTTATACTTCCTAATTCGAGAGTGGTTATAAGGATTGCCCTTAAACCATTAGCAACTAATGACCGTTTTCCAAAGGCTGCTTTCCTTGTCCCAAAATCTCCAAATCCATTTGCCAAAGAGAGCTTTGTTTAATTTAACAAAAGAAGGCAAACCCAAGCCACCCTCTTTGAGAGGTTTTTTGACCTTGTTCCAGCTGACAAGGTGAAATTTCCTGTTGTTATCGTTGTCACCCATAAGAAATTGCATTGGATTGTTTTCAGTCTCTTGGCCACTTTAGAAGGAATACTGAACACGGATAAATAGTAAATAGAAAGATTAGATAGCGTACTTTTAATAAAAATCAACCTGCCCCCTTTAGATAGAAGTTTCCTCTTCCAGTTAGCCAATCTGTTGTGAAACATTTCTATAACAGGATCCCAGATTCTGGTATCGTTGTACTTGGCCCCCAGGGGGACCCCAAGATAAGAAATGGGCAGTTGGGACCTCTTGCAGCCCAATACCTGCACTAGAGAGTCACCAGAATTTATATTACCCAGCACCACCAATTCTGATTTGTGCATGTCAATTCGGAGCCCCGAGACAGCTTAAAAATAAAGGAGTATGCATCTCAAGAACATCATGGATCGCATCTCCGGTTGGCAGAAAATAAGAGTATCATCGGCGAAGAAAAAATGAAAAACTTCTACCTAATTCCCATTGCCTCCCATGGAGACACCTTTTAAATGTTGTAATTCCTTGGCTTTTTCAAGAAACTTGTTTGGTGCCTCCATCACAATGATGAATAGAAGGGGGAAAAAAGGATCCCCTTGCCTCAGCCCTCTAGTAGCAGTGATGAAAGAGGAGGGACCACCGTTAACAATGATTGCGAAGCTTGCGGTTGAAATACATGATCTGATCCAACCTCTCCATTTTGCACCAAAACCCATTTTATTGAGCATATAATCAATAAAGTTCCAGATGACATGATCAAAAAAATTTTCCATATCGAGCTTGCATAAAGTGCCAGTCATGTTGTGTCTAATTACCTCATCCGCTATCTCATTAACAATTAAGATAGCATCGGAAATTTGTCGGCCATAAACAAAAGCATGTTCACATTCACCAATGATGTAGTTAAGAACTTTGGATAACCGTTTAGCCAATACTTTATAGAGCAGTCTGAAAATACAGCCTGTGAGGTTAATAGGCCGAAAATCATCAATATGCTTGGGATTACTTTCCTTAGGGATCATAACAAGAAAAGTTGAGTTTAAAGATCTTACAAAGGAGTTGTGCTTGTGGAAATCATTGAAGAATTCAATGATATTGCTTCTAATGACTCCCCAGAAAGTTTGGAGGAATTTGAAATTGAATCCATCCGGCTCGAGGGCTTTATCGCCATCACATTTCCGAAGGCATTTAGCGATTTCGGTTTCTGTAAATTTCTCTTCCAACTGAGCTCTTCCCCTTTCACCAAGCCTACTGAAATTTAGATTATCAAGTTTGGGCCGGTAACAGAATTCTTCAGTATACAATTTCTAGAAATGTATTCGGGCCCCATCCCTCAAAGCCTTGTTACCTTTGATATAATTATCTTCAATGGTGAGCTCTTCCACATAATTGACCCGTATTCTATGATTAGCTAACATATGAAAATATTTGGAATTCTTATCTCCATTTTTTAGCCATTTCTCCCTGGATTTTTGCTTCCAAGAAGTGGCTTTCATCTGAAGACGGTTAGCCAAATCTGTCTTTAAGACATTCTTCTTTTCCCTGTCAACCGGAGAAAGAATTGAGTCCTCTTTTCTGTCTAACAAATCAATCTCCTGCAGTCCTATTCCAGTTATTAAGTAGTTGCTGGAAGAATTACATGGTTCTTCTTACTTTCCCAAGTTGGATCTTTGATCGGGTTATAATCAAATCCTAATAGCTGTCAATGACATAGAGAAAACAGCATTCTGGACCCACCATGATCATTTTGAATTTTTGGTAATAAATTTTTGTCTCATCAATGCACATGCCACTTTTCAATCATTGATGAATCACATATTTCAGTATTATATATGAAAGTTTGTGTTAGGTTTTTTCGATTATACTCATTTACAGAAAGACATGGCTTAAGCATCTTCAACACCTTCTATAACATCCCGCTCACCAATGTGCTTAATTGTATTTGGAAAAATCCTATTTATTCAACACAGAACTCATTTATTTTATTACAGAGTTTATTATCGTAATTCGTAAATTATGCTAATTTTACTTTTATTTAATTTATCTAATTTTATTTTGATTTAATTATTTAATTGTTATTTTTTAAAATAAACGATTTTTAGAAAAAAAAAAAAAAAGGAAAAAAATCTCATGAGAAAATCCCATGGGAAAGGGTTGTCCACATGGGCGCCCGCGCACGATAGGCACAAGACGTGCGCACAGTGCGCACATCCTATCCACGCACAGCCCGGAGGTCAGACCTGCGCGCGTGTCACATCGCGCGCGAACAAGGCAGGCGCCGCACACTGTGCGCATGTCGTCCCCGTAGATAGGCCTAGGTGCATGAGCTGTCCTGCGAGCAGCAGGGTAGCCCTGCGCCTACAGGCTAGGTCTGCAGCGCACGCCGGGCAAGTGAAGCT